CCCCCCTCCTCCCTCCCACCATATCCTCCCTTCTCCTTCCCACCATCTCCTCCATTCTTTTCTCATCCTGATCCTCAACCACGCTTCATCTCTCACTCTCTTTCTCCCTCATTTCCTATATCCTCTCTAGTATACTTGCACCTTTACCTCTTTCTCTAAACTCACATCTTCTTATCTTCTTTCGCTTCTCTCTTTTATTCGTCCTCTTTATCCTACTCTCTATCTTCCCCCTCTTCTTCATCCCTCCTAATGCTTCAAGTAAAATGTTTGATGTTGGGTTTGAGAAAGAAAGAGGAGGAGATTCAGTTTTTGATGATTGAAGGGTGAAGAGAGAGTGAGTAGAGCAAGGAAGGACAGGGAGAGGGAGTGGGAGAGACGAAGAGGAAAAGTAGGTTTGAAATTTAATAGAATGCTTGATGTTAGGTCTAAGAGAGAAAGAAGAGGTTGGTTTTTTCTTTTTAAATGATTAAAGGGTGAAGAGGAGAGGGACGAGGAGGGAGAGGGAGTGGGAGAGAGAAGGGGAGGTCGGGGATTGGGACGGGAAGAGAATGAATGAGATGGTGGAAAAGAGAAGGTAAGAATAGATATGGGAAAAAATGGAGAAGGAGTGGTAGAGTGAAAGGGAAGTAGGGGATTGAAGGAGAAGAGAATGGAAGAGATGGAGGGAGGGAAGAAGGAAGAGATGGTGGAAAGGGAGTGTGTTTTGTACAAAATTTACAAATTTTTTTGGGGTTAATTCGAAAAATATGTGAGAGTGAGAAGTCTATATTGCAAAAGTCACTTAATTTCTAGCTCAAAAATTATCTTTAGCATGGGAAATGCATATTTGTTAGCGTAGTTGTCGCTTTTTAGGCTAAATTATCGCTGGCGTCACTTTTTAGGCTAAACTAGTGAATGAGTATCATTTTTTAGTCTGATCTGGTATTTTAGCCAATTCTGAAATAATAGCAATTTGAATGAAGCTTATTTGTCTATACACCCGCAAACCTTCCCTAATTGCACATGTACCCTCCAGTTGCCAATTTACCGCCATATCTTCCATCATTGCATATTTAGAGTCGCCCATATATTCATAAATGCCAATATACCCCAATCTTCTATAATTGCATATTCACCCCCAAAATCATTATAATTACCCTCGCCAACCCGTTGGAACTTTTCCTCTTGATGAACATCACCTTAAATATTTAGGTATTTTTAAATTTTATCTAATGACTTAACAAAATAATAAGGTGTACATTGGCAATTATGAGGAGCTGGGGGACGAATATGCGATTATGGTAGATTTTGAGGGATATGCTGGCTATTATGAGTAGTTAGGGTTAAATATGCAATTTTGGAAGATGCGGGGGAAATATTGGCAATTATGGATATTTGGGGCTTTATATGTAATTAGGGAAGATGTGGAGGGTATAGAACCAAATAAACTTTGAATGAATCGAGGGAGTACGTCTCAAAATTGTAGAAGACTGTACTGTGAAGAATTAAACCCTCTAGGGTTTCTTGGCTTCTTCATGGAGAAGCCCACTAAAATCTCGTTCGCTGGCGATCAGATTCCTCTGTCGGTGCTCGCGGCCGCTAGGATCGCCGGAATCGACCTCGCCGTCGACGCCTCCGCCGCTCCCGGCTCCCTTCCCTCGTTCCACTTTCCCTCTGGGTTAGCTCCTAATCGCTTTCCTTTCTTGGTTTCAATTCTCAAGGGGATAGGGGGGAAAAAAATCAAATCTTGGGTTGAAAAAGCTGAATTTGGTGATGTAAAGTAGGATTCTTCAGTGTAAAGGCTGAATTTTGATTGGGTCAGCTATCAAAATGTGTATATAATTCGCTCTTTAGATGAAACTGTATGGAAAGATGTATGTTTTTTATAGCACTTTGTTATGAATTGGGAATTCTTCAAAATGTTCCATTCAATATGCGGTGTGTACTAAGGGAATGTTCAACCTTAATTTACATGATTGCTTAACTGTACGTCTGAGCAGAAGAATAGATTGTTTTTTAATTAATTTGATCGTCGATGAAATATATGATTTCTTTAAGGATTTGTGTAATTTTGATATACCCAGGAACTAGTCTATCTCGAGTTAGTCTCCTGCTTGTGTTTGATACAAGTCCTAGAGATTGTTCGATCTCGAGTTACTACCTTTTGTGAACGTGTAACCTTGCAGGTTCGGGAATAAAAAGGATACATAAAATCAAGGCCCCGTATTTTTTAGGGACATATGTCTAATATGTAGGCGAACATATGTCTATTATGTAGGAGAACAATGTCACTTGACATTTAACATTCAACTGTTAATGTATAACTGCTTCAGGTCTAAACTGCATGGAACCAATACTCTTCTACGGTATCTGGGGCGTGTTGTAGACATCCCTAATTTCTTTGGGCAGGATGCATTTGAATCAGGACAGGTACAAGATCATGTATATACTTTAACATATTGATTTATTTTTTCCCACTAGTATAATGCACGTGCTTCACATGGATGTATTTGTTTTTGTATTTGATATAATATTATTTAATAAATTACGTATAAATATTTTATAAGTTATTTTATTGTACTATTATTAAAAAAATTTAAGTTATACTATTGTTAACTAATTCATGTAATAGTTATTTAAATTTTCATATTATTATGTTATTAAACAATTTATTAAGAGTATAATTATTAAATAATAATGTAATAATTAGTTTAAGCAAATCTATTGAGATAATTAAACTATTTATATTATTAATACTCATGCTATGTTGATATTTTATTATAATATTTATTAACTAATGACAATAATTCTTAATGTTATATGTCTTTATTTATACTATTATTAATAATTATAATTATGTACAATAATTTATTAAATACCTATTTTATAATATTTTATTACTTAATACACTGAATATTTTATTATTAAAATGAAGAGGTGCATAGTTAATAAGAGGTTATCAATCATTAGTTAAGAATTAATTATAAATAATGGTATAATTGTGAATTGTCAAAAAAAGAGAGGGTGAAAAAGAAGATCAAAAGTTTTGACAGGGGTATCTCTTTTATAAGTAGTACAGATATAGATAGATAAATTATCTCAACCTTCTTATTGTTTTGTTGCACTGCTTGATTATTATCCTGCAGATTGATGAGTGGCTTGAGTACGCTTCAGTATTCTCTTCTGGTTCTCAGTTTGAGAGTGCTTGCGGGCATGTTGATAATCATTTGGCTCTTCGGGCTTTCTTGGTTGGTTATAGCTTGTCCATTGCTGATATCTCAATTTGGTCAGCTCTCGCAGGTAATCTGAAGTTGCTTTTGTTTGATTTTCCTTTTGATTAACATCTCCTTTCATTTTCAACTTTATTGACGCTTCAGGCACTGGGCAAAGGTGGGAAAGTTTGAGGAAATCGAAGAAATACCAAAATCTAGTTCGGTGGTACAATAGCATAGCAGATGAGTATAGTGTGGCCTTGAATGAAGTTACAGGAGCATATGTTGGAAAAAGAGGATTAGGAAAGTCACTTGCAACTAATCCGAAGGGAAAAGAACAGGGAACCGACCAAGCTCCAAAAGGAAAGGAAGGGGTTGTGGCGAATGGAGTTGTTACTTCAAAACATGCTGGATTTGAGGTTGATCTTCCTGGTGCTGAAGTTGGGAAAGTGTGCCTGAGATTTGCTCCTGAGCCTAGTGGATATCTCCACATTGGGCACTCGAAGGCTGCCTTGTTGAATCAATACTTTGCTCGAAGATATCAAGGACGATTGATCATTCGCTTTGATGATACAAATCCTTCAAAAGAGAGCAACGAGTTTGTCGAAAATGTGTTGAAAGATATTGAAACACTCGGCATCAAATATGATGTTGTTACCTATACATCAGATTACTTCCCACAATTGATGGAGATGGCTGAGAAATTAATGAGCGAAGGGAAAGCCTATGTGGATGATACACCAAGGGAGCAATTACAAAAGGAGAGGATGGATGGTATTGAATCAAAAAATAGGAATAATACTTATGATGAGAATATGCAGTTATGGAGAGAGATGATTGCAGGTTCTGAAAGGGGCAAGCAATGCTGTTTAAGAGGTAAATTGGACATGCAGGATCCTAACAAATCTCTTCGAGACCCTGTTTATTACCGTTCCAACCCAGATCCACATCATAGGATTGGAGCAAAGTACAAGGTCTACCCAACCTATGACTTTGCATGCCCTTTTGTTGATTCCATTGAAGGTGTAACACATGCTCTTCGTTCAAGCGAATATCATGATCGCAATGCACAATACTACAGGATTCTTGAGGATATGGGACTAAGACGAGTGCAAATATATGAATTTAGCCGGCTGAATATGGTCTATACACTTCTCAGCAAGCGTAAACTTCTTTGGTTTGTGCAAAATGGCAAAGTTGATGGATGGAATGATCCTCGTTTCCCAACTGTGCAGGGAATAGTACGCAGAGGTCTGAAAATTGAGGCATTAATACAATTCATTCTCGAACAGGTAATATATCACTATTTCTTTCTATATCGTGATTTTATTGATGGAAGCTAACACGATTGGTTTTGTGATTTTTTTAGGGTGCTTCTAAAAATCTAAACCTTATGGAGTGGGACAAATTGTGGACCATAAACAAGAAAATAATTGATCCAATTTGTCCAAGACACACAGCTGTCAATGAAGAGCGCAAGGTAATATTTCACCTTGCTGATGGCCCTGAGGAGCCACTTGTGCGCATCTTACCTCGGCATAAGAAATATGAGGGCGCTGGAACAAAAGCTACAACATACACGAAGAACATATGGATAGAGTACGCTGATGCATTATCTATCAAAGAAGGGGAGGAAATAACGTTGATGGACTGGGGCAATGCTATTGTGAAAGAAATCAAGAAAGAGAACGGTGAAATCAAAGAACTGCTCGGAGCTCTTAAGCCTGAAGGATCCGTCAAGGATACCAAGTTGAAGCTTACCTGGCTACCTGAAACGAAGGAGCTTGTTAAGCTTTCCTTGATTGAGTTTGATTTCTTGATTAAGAAGAAGAAGGTATGGACAATTACATGTGACGCTACACTTTGCATACTTATTTATTTATTCTTGATCATGGTTTGTTGACTGGGTGACCTGCACTGCATATTATTCAGCTTGTTTGAATTTTAGCTAAACCTGTGTAAGTCCATATTTTCTGCCACTCAACATATTTTGTCCTTATACTTGCACTAATTATGTTTTGGAGTTCTCTTTCATGTCATCTAACTACCTACTTGTTCACTGGAAAGGGATTGAACAGTATACATACTATCTAGCTTTAGTTTACATCATCTTGGGAGCATGATTCTAACATTGTTTACTAATTTGCACACTATGAAGGGCATGTTTTAATTGAATGGGTTTTTGTCATATTAGACCATGAAATCTTCATATTTCTAAATTAGACCCTCAAATCCATTAAGTCATTTTAAATGACACGTCCATGTTTTTTTACACCCCTAAATCTATTAAGTTATTTTAAATAACACCTCCATTGCAAACAAATATGAGTACTTCTGGGGGGTCTACTTTGTCTAAAAAAAAGCAAATAGTATAGTAACAGGTAATAGGATGATATGGAAAACTAATATGTAGGAAAACAGTTGTGTGTGTAAACAAAGTCTAATAAACATAACTGTATTATATGGAAAAATACGATATGGAGGAGAACAATTTTTTGTACTGAAATATTCTATATGTTTAGTTTACTAAAGCAATCTACTAGCCACAAGTTACTCTCTTCTGCTTTCTTATACTAAAGCCATCTGTTTGTTTATTATGGTTCCATAAATGTTTGAGATCGACGTGCACGGATCACCTCCCTAGTGTAGACCTGTACATTTCTTTTTTGAGATGACACTGGAACTTCTTGTTTCTGTTTACAACACCAGTAACTTTTCATCGATGTTACCCCAGCTTGAAGAGGGGGAGGAATTTCTGGACAATCTTAACCCCTGCACGAGAAAGGAAACAGCAGCTCTAGGAGATTCCAACATGAGGAATCTGAAGCAAGGCGAGATACTTCAGCTCGAGAGGAAAGGCTACTTCAGGTGTGATGTTCCCTTCGTCGGACCTTCGAAGCCAATCGTTCTCTTTGCAATCCCGGATGGTAGGAAACAGGCATCATTGAACTGATATTATCGAGAGGAATCATGGACAACAGTTTCGCTATTATTATGTTTTTTTTATATATAACTTGGGCTTATTGTTAAAACATGCTGAAGTTTTTGAATGTTGGTTCTGGTGCGTGGACTGGCTTCCGGTGTGGTGTATCGATAAGACCACGACTGTTTTTTTTATCTCTGGAATCTGAGAATGCCTCCTGAAACGCTGTTTGAGAAACAAACGATTTCTTCCCTTCCCTGCTTTTTTCTGTAAATTTCTACAGTTCAAGTCTCGAGCATTTCTCAAAAGTAGCAAGCAAAATAAAGAGACACAGAGCCACAAACAAAAAAGGCAATAGAAAAATCCAGCACCTCTCTTTTTTTCCTCGTTCTCTTTCTGGGACATTTATCAGTGACGAGCCAACACTTGTATCTGTATGCTCTACATGACAATAGAACTGTTTACATTCGCGAAAACAAAATGCCAGAAATTACAGTACAGCCTCATCGTTATCCGACAAAACTTTGCTACTTCCCAGACTTCTTCCCCTTCTTTTGTTTCTGCTTCAGTTGGGTGAGTCCTGGTGCTGTTATCTTCGCATTGCCCACAATGGCAGCCACCAGTTCAGCATCCGTACATGCTTTCATCAGCTCTTTCTCTCTGGTGGTTACTTCAGGCGTATGACTGAACAAATTCATCGCAGTTTTGGCAGCTGCAATGATGCAAACATACAACTCGTTATAAATAGAGCGCAAAAATTGAATAATCATTGAGTTGCACAGTAAATATGGCTACAGACTATCAACAAGAAGAAAAGATGTTACGCTACCATGACAGTTTAAGACGTAGAATTACATCACTGCAACAGAACAAGTGTACAGGTGGTAATCAAGTGACAAGCATAAGCACTGCTCGAGGATAATCGAAAGAGCACCATATCGAGGTTACGAGAATGAGACAAAGAATGCCTAGAGTATGACTGAGGGACAAAATTTGAAAACAGACCCCTTTGCAAAAATATTCTCAAAAAAAGACCCGTTTTTTACTTTATTTTTAAAAAAAGACCTAGTTTTCCACTTTATTTTCAAAAAACGACCTACTTTGTTGAAACTGGGTCGTTTTTTTTGAAAAATATTCCCAAACTTCACGGGAGTTGAACTCCCGTGAAGTTTTTTTCATAACATGATAACAAAACTTCACGGGAGTTCAGCTCCCGTGAAGTTTGTGAACATTTTTCACAAAAAACGACCCTGTTTCAGCCTCAGGGCTGAAACTGGGTCGTTTTTTGCGAATATTTTCAAAACGGGTCTTTTTTTGGGAATATTTTTGCAAAGGGGTCTGTTTTTAAAATTTGTCCTATGACTGAGATAAAGAGAATAGGTCACTTTATTATCTCAGAATAAACCTAATAAATATGAACATACCTTTTCCTTTCTTTGCTGTGCCTGGAGTAATTTTCACCCGATATTTATATGCTTGCAGAGCATTGTAAGGACCACAAACAGGTACAGCATACAATAGAATATCGTCAGGAAGGGGATTGCCCGTCAAATAATCTAAATCGTTCAGCTTCTCTTTCTCCTCGTCCCCTATCTCATGGATGCCATCTTCCTCCATCTCAATTTTATCCATATCACTTGTTTTGTCCAAGGTTGTATCCTGAACATTTTCAGAAAGAGAACCATTGATTTTCTTGTTCATGGAATGATCAATTTCGGAAGTATACTCTGGACAATCCCGAGAAAGATGGCCTGGCTTTTTACATTTATAACATATTTTGGAGGAATCATCTAGACCTGTCATCCCAGAGAAAATAGTATCAGAAACACGTTGTTTCTAAAAAATTCATTGCAAGAAAGAAATCTAATCAAGAAAAACCAGGGTTGCCTAACCAGCGCATGAAGTATACAAACAAGTAAACAGGAAGAGAACCAAGTGAAGAATATGTTGGCAAGTATAAAAACACAAACTGAAGGAGAAACAAGTCAAAAGACAACATCCATCTTTAGCTCCAATATTAAATGGAGAATCCAAGCTATTCTTTTTTTTTCTTTTTCTTTACCAAATTGAAAGGATATCTACTATCAAGTCCTGATGGCGGAATATGATTAATGATTATTACAGTATATATTACTTGACCTTCAACCTTTTTTTTCATTGCAAACTCTTCACATAACATCAGGTCTCATCAGAGACTGTAAAATGCCAGGGGGAAAAAAACATCCCATGAAATGGGTTCCGTATACTCACCTCAAACTTGCATGGTGTGAAGGAGTTGGAGGTCCAGTAATTCTACTGTAATAATTATTTAATCATATTTCGCCATTAGGACTTGACAATACATATCCAGGACATTTCTTCTTCTCAAAAACTAAATTGGTTTGCACTAAAGAACACCCCCACCCCCCACCCCCCCAAAAAAACCTTCTCTATTTCCAAATTATTATTACTAGTGTCTATTTCCGTTGTTATATTCTATTAGTGTAATTGTCAAAATTAATTTGCCTAAGCCAGCCAGTGATAGTACTAAGTGTCTGAAAAAAAATTCATTTTGGCTAAAGACTGAATACAAATTTGAATCATAATCTCAAATATCATGCTATCTTTAGTAAAACCGTTTAAACAATTAAGTAACTTCAATACGGATAGAAATCCCAATGAATAACTTGTGCTATTAACTCTAAAATGCAGGTCAGGAAAAATGGTGCGTATAATCAGATAAATATTAAGCAAATATACAGAGGAAACTTTGAAAGAGTGAAACCACATGTTGACCGATTACCTGTTATAGGTTTGATTGATTTGTTTGTATCTCCCTCCTTGTCTTGTGACTCTTTTTCCTTTGTGAGCGCTTTCCCTGCAGACTAAAGTCGAACAGAATGATAATTGTTAATACATAAAACAATTCATCAACATTCAAGGGGAAAAAATTCCTATACTATCAAAACTCACCGCAAGCAAAGTCATGCGAATCTTCCTCTCTTCCTCATCCTGTGATGCATACTTCTCTTTGATCTTCTTAAGCTTACCCTTCTGCCCACGAGTGGCCTTTGGAATCGCTGGCTTTGATTTGTCACTTGTGATATCTGCCTGAACACCTTTAGCACCTCTATTACTCTCTTCTTTTTCATTCATGTCATTAGCAATATCATCACTATCATTCTTCTGACCTTTCTTCAATTTTCGTCTTTCTGCCTTCGAAATGTAAGGCTTCTCTCTTATTGTACCCTTTTTCCCATTATGGTTCTCTTTAGCAGGTAACTGACAATCATCTATTCCAGTATTTTTAGTTGATAATTTAGCAGAGCCGACACCAAGAGCTTCATCGAGGAGAACCTCAAGTTGTGGTGAAATTGAAGGTCGACTAGTTTCATCAATAGTAGATAGATTCTCATTATGAATCTTATCTAATTGGGATGCATCATCTCCAACAGTTCCTTCAGTGTAACCAGAAGTTTTAAGATTAGTAGCAGCATGAGATCCCTCTACCTTTACTTCAGAATGGCCACTGCTCAGTGATGAAACATGAACCAATTCCTTGTTTATGCCACCTTCATCAATGACTTCTTCACCTGAATCAGAATCACTCTGGTCTTTATGAGTCTCTCCTTCAATTTCATTTAGACTTTCATCCTCACCCCTTACCCTCCTTTCATTCAGATGGGATGCCAAGGAGCTCTCATCCAACCGAAATAGAATGCCAAAGCCCATGACAAGGGGATGTGGAGGGAGGAAGTTCTTTTTGCCACGTATCATGAAACTACCGACAGTAAGATATTCACCAGTAGGAGCTGTTTTACTCACTTGATGAGGATACACCCACCAAGCACTTGTGACAATTTTTGAATCCCACGCCTGGCTATGACACACCTGTCAAACAGAACAATTTTTACAATTCATTTCGTATCAAAATAGCTGAAAAAATATATGCTCAGAAAATTGAGTATCTTCTTAACCATGTTGAACGTATTAACTTTAATGTTTTCTCAAGAAATACCAAAGGTTTAAACATCCATTATCTTACTCACAGTGAAGCATCCTGCTTGATTCAATGTAAGAGGCGGTATGGAATGATCAGCCTTGTGATTTTTTATCACTGTACTAGAGGCTCCATGTAGCTCTGCGTGCACGTAGCTGTCTTGAAGTCAAAATAAGAGTCACCATCAACAGAACCAAAATCATGATTTAGGAGTTGCAAGGAGAAGGACAGAAAAATAGTGAATCAACAAGCATTCATATTAAACAAATATCATTTAGAACTACATTCCTCGCACATGTAAAAGGGACACTACACTATATGTCACTATGAAAGTGACACTATGAAAGTGACACTAAAAGCTGCACTCATGCATATAGGTAAAGGGGACGATACACTGTATGTCCCTGCAAATGTGATTTCACTACTGTATTCACGGAGACACTCGTGCACACAGAGGAAGGGAGGCAGGGAGTGGCATCCTCGATACCAAGGACCAAATTTGTTCCTTGGCAGTCGTGGCCACGTCCAACCACTCATCTAAAGGTTGAAAACTTCAATAATTCGCTTTCCATCCAACCAATCTCTTTACACGAGTGGTTGAGATGGGGCCACTTTACTCCTAAGGACAAATTGGTCCTTGGTAGTGCTTTTGTGTGTGGGTGTGTGCGAACATATATATTGTCCTCTTTTCAAAAACTTGAAAACAAACTATTTTTACTAAAAGATTAAGAGCATTCTGATTGGGTTAAATAAGCAGTCAAAGTTCAATCATTTTACTTACTCATAATGTCCATCAGGGGAAGGGGGGAGGGGGGGTGGTGGTGGAGTCAAACAACATAGTTACAGGATGCTAGTATCAGCGATCTGATTGGAAATCCACCACAAAACTGATACACATGAACTGGATAGTGGATTACGGGAGGAACAGTGAATTCGCGGGTCTCAACTTTCTTCACAAGCATTATGTGGTATCTGCTTTTCTACGTCTCAGCAGTGTACTTTGTCCAAAAAAAATTTCAAGGTGAAGGAAGTTTGAAAACAGCATGATTCCTCATTTTTATGGATCATTCATGAGATACCTCATTATGAAGTTATAAAAAAAAAACCGTGCCTGTTCATATTAAAAAATTTCATATGGAAAGACTCTGTTTAGATACAATAATATTAGAGTTTCATTCTTTAGATTATCTAGACTGCTCACCTTGATCTATACATTCAAATAGTCTAAAGATGAGATCAAGAATTGGAACTCTTTACAATGCATCAAATGATACCATCTATTAGGATTACATAATGATCTTTCTATCAAGGTTATGAAGTAAAGTTTCACAATCACTAGATCTCTCATTTTTAGACTAACTTGAAGATGTAGATCAAAATGAATGATGTGGATCATCATTGGGATAGCCATTACAAGTTCTCGCGAAAAAATTCACCATGAAGTTTCCATCTGAAAATCTTTTGTTTAGGGCGATCTAAAATAAGTACTTTTAGAACTTCATAACAGACCATCATCTAGACAATGTGTTTTTATTCTACAAATTTGTTAGCTTGCTCTTTATTAGCACTCTAGCGGGCTGGGGGCAATGTATTTTATCTTTGCATGTTCTCTTACTCAAGATAGGCACTTGAAAACACATTAACAGCACGTCATCTTGGATGCAGCAAAATATTTTAAGGTGACGGTAGTGCATCAAACATAAATATTGTACACAAAGGCATATATTGTTTGTAAAGGCATCAGATACCAGATGTAAGGAGTGCATCATTCGTGCAAGATACTACTAATTATCTTTGGGTTAAGAGAAGGTTGACACAGACTTTTTCTAGAATTTAGGCATCTGACTTTTTCTAGAATTTAGGCATCTGATAAATTATTGGGAGGGATATTGTCACACATAACAGGCCTACATATGGGTAATACCTAAAACAACCTGTAGCTATTGGCGTCACTTTCTTCAGTTGAATCTTAAATTTTTTATGAATCACTTGATCTTCCCTTCCTATTGTCGGATCTCAAACCCATAATGAATCTTTCTTATAAGAGAAATACCCAAAAGGTTCATAGAGAATGATGTCTACAACTGACCTGTGAAAACATTATCAAATAAATAAAAAATATACTTACAGATCCCCTTTGGACATATAACGCTTGACAATCATCTCATTTTGTTGTGCATCACGACCACTGATAACCAAATAATTTTCACTGCTAATGAACCAGTTGAATTTTTCAAACCAATGAACTTTGCGTATGTGAGTAATAGCAGCAACAGTCTTTTCCTGCACACAAGAAGGAACATATATATTAAAATCATCAACCAATACCCAAAGCTTTTAAGGCATTTGGTAAATTCTAGTCTTTATTTTATTGAAAATGTCACTTAAAGTGACAACTGAAGTCAGATTTCTGCTCCATTTTCTTTCTCAGTCTCACAAGTCCATAATTAACGAGGAATTCTTGTTTCTTTGTGTCAGGCTCAGGACCCAAAAGCTGATATTCCCTGATAATGCCATACAGGTTCGCTCTAGGTCCCTAGATAACCAAGTCACTTCCGTTGGTAACTAACAGGCCTAAACTAAATACAATTAGTGTAAAATACATCCAGTAAAGTTTATCTTATTGGGCCACACTCGTTCCCAAGCCTTCTTGGAATATAAATATCATAAATTTGATGAGGCCAATACTTCTAATTCATTTCTTGACAGAATAAGAACCTTCAACACCAATATTGAAGAAAAAAAATATCATATGCCGGATGAATCAAGCAACCAAGTAATAACAAAATGCATGCCCAACATAATGACAAATTATGCCAAAATGAAGACAACTGCCAGTTATCATGACTTTTTGGCCGTCTCATCACTCATCAATAAGTACAAAATGAGAAAACAATGCGAGCACTACTAGAATACCAGATGTTTTCAATGTTGCTGAGGTAAACAAAGAATTCATGGCAAGCCTTTGGAACTTGAGAGTAAGGACATCTCCATAAGAAGGAAGTTGTCAGACATATTTGTTTTACCTTTTATGTCATGTTAAAAGAAAACTGCAATAATCTTCCATATTTACCAAAATAATCAGCTATTAAATAAATCTAACATCAGAAAGGAAGGACAAGTTCATCAAAATTTTGTTGAAAATACCTGAGCAAGTTGGAGGCGTGTCTTCTTCTCTGCAGCTTTGAAAGCCTTCTCATGAGCTGTGATGGTTTTTTCTTGTTTATTCTCCTGTTTCTTCTTTAATTCAAACCAACGACATGCATTTGCATGTGCAGAAAGTGCCAAATCGACTTCTACCTGAAAACCACATTTACATATCATTTGTATTCTGGATTTATATATCTCCTTCTGCTTAAAGACATATAATATGGAAAAATACTGGTATGACAGCCCTTGAAATGCAGGAGAAAAAGGAACATCAAACTCAACAAGCCTCACTGCTGTAAACCAGAATGTTTCAGCATTTATTAGAAGATAGTGCATCATATTTTAACTATTGTGCATATACACTTTAGTAAAGTCAATTAGTAGGCAATGGGCCCATTAAGTTTATGGAATGGTTGATACAAGGGGAAATCCCTAATGGAGTCTAGAGTGAATTTGCTACACTTTCCAATTATCGATATCCATTTCTATGTCAAATTAGCTAGCGTTCTACCTAAAACGACTTTTGAATGTCATTAATTATTCTAGAGTTATTGGAGGAAATATCCTCTCAATGCTTTCTGCTTTGAAATAACATAACATGGAAAAATAGCCTTGAAATGCAGAAGAAAATGAGCATTCCACTCAACAAGCCCCACTAAACAAATAGATCTTTAAACAGTGATTAAAACATAGCGTATCATTGACTTTGGGTTGTAAAACATGTTACTTGAACAAAACAATTATTCGGACGAAGGACGAAAGATTTACATGAACCAGAAAGCTCAGTATTTATGCCATTTCAATATCTAATAAAAAAAGGACGTGTTTTCACCTATGAAGCACGGACACGGACACGGACACGGCGACACGGACACGGACACGACGACACGGACACGGCAAAACCCAAAAAAATAGGACACGATAACACGACTAGATTTTTTTTAATATTATTATTATATATAGATCAATATTGAATTAAATTCCTATTACATTTTCATATTTTTTGTTATGTAAAATGGAGATTATAAATAAGAAATTAAAGGAAAGTGTGTGTTGAAGGTGTGAATTAAGACGTCGGGATGGCAATGATCTCTTGAAGAATTGAAGACAATAATGTTAAAGAAGACAAGAAAGAGAAGATGAACATAGAAAAATAGATCAATTTTTATGTTATATTATTATGTAACTTTGGCTTGTATAATCAATGACAAATGTAAGTTATGTAACTGATTTGACGATAATACCAAATTTTAATTTTCATTACTTTCATCTTGAACATATAAAAATACAAGAGAATAAAGTTCAAGTTACAACTAGTTCCATGGCTACAAAATACTAAGTTATTAACATTGTAAAAATATAAAAATTACAACCAAAAGTGTATCCTAAAATAAAGTTTTCAAGTTGAAACATCAAAAAGATCGTTCTATGGCTTCAACTCCTTCATCCTCCTCAAACACAACGGCCTCCATCGTGGGCTCGCAAGAGAAAGGGCAACAACATCTAAAATGCCGACACCTTGAAATGAGTTGAAGGCATCTCCACCAATATCCCACATTCTTGATTCCTCTTCCATATACTCTTCTGAACTTCGAGAAAGTAAGCAAAGGTTGGTGTAAACATAAACAAGATCCTCCGCACGTGCTGGGGTTAGCTTGTTCCTCTTTAAGGAGTGAATAAAACCATACATACTCCAATTCCGTTCACAACAAGAAGAAAAACAAGGTTGGCCTAGAAGTTTTACGGCTAATGCTTGAAAATTTGGAGTACTTGGACCATAAAGAAGCGACCATGACTTTGAATCCATATGTCCTCTATCAGAAAGAGAATCCGGATCACTAAAAACCTTCAAAGTCCCCGCAAACTTAGCATATTCCAAGTTCATCGCCCGTCATTCGTCGGGGTTAGGATAGTATCTTCTTAAGCGCTTTGTTCTTTCCGTAGAGATCTCAAGATCTTGATTTGGAGCTTGCCGATTGACGTTCTCATTGAGCCATGTGAAATGATAGTACTTATGTTTGTTAATAACATGAATTAGCCCACAAGGTATTTGATTAATAGAAATATTCACATTAAAGAGTGAAATGTGAAATATTACCTTGGAACTAAAGAGTATGTCAAGCACTGAAGCGGGGTGTTGCTCTTGTTCCATCGATTCTCCAATATCTTGTAAACGACCTCATAAAAAGGAGATTCTTCATTATCCCTTTTACCCTCATGCCTATAAATAGCTTGTTTCACATTCGCAATCATTATATCCCACATATCATACACCAAATGAAGACATGGTGTATCGGTGTCGGTGACCCTTACCATTTCATAGATTGGGCCAGTAAAGTCGAGAATAAAATCTATCTTGTCCCACCACAAATCATCGAGGACTTTCTCTTTCACAAATTGAGCTTTTCCCACATCATCTTCTCCATACAAGCTCCATCGATCACTAAGAACCATGTCTTGGATGGCTCTCTTGATGACCTTAAACCTCTTCAACATAATAATCCACGAGGCAAATCTTGTGTCGGCAATCGATAGGAGCTTCATCTTGGAATAATCATTGAACATGGCAAGTCGCATAGAGTGGTTCATGATAAAATTTTTCATAAGCAATACATCATCGGAGATCTCTCTAATCCAATGTAATTGTGCATAAGCCACGACATTTGCTTCCCTGTTCTTAGCCACACAAATATTCTTGATAGCAAGATTGAGTGTATGGACTACACAAGGAGTCCAAAATATGTGAGGTTAGGTGCCCTCCATAAAACCTTCCGCAACCTTGCATGTCGAAGCATTTCGGTTATGATTTGGATGGTATTTTACGGTCCCATCTCTGTGATGCACTTTTCTAGCTTCGCTTGGATAAAATATTTATTCTTGACTTCTCCCTCGACATTCACGACATTCAAGAACATTGGCTTACCCTCACATACCGTCATAAAATTGATGATGGGCCTCATTTGTGCATCCGTCCACCCATCACTACAAATGGAGATCCCTTTCTGTTGTCATGTGCCCCTGATGGGCTTCATCAATCTCTCTACGTGAGTTTTCTCACGTTGTAAGATAGTGATCCTCATGTAATTGTAATCGGGAGGCTTGTAGCCAGAGATTGGATTATTTGCGACATATGTAAAAGCCTTAACATAATATGGATTCCTTATCAAGTTGAAAATCCCCCGATGAACATCCTACCAATCAATGCATCCAATTCTTCCCTTGCTCCCATGTTGAATGCTTGTTCCACGGTATTAGGCCCCTCCTCTTCTTAGATTCACTTTCACGAACCAGCATGCTTGCACTTGTACTTACACCGGTCGTACTTACAATCGAAAATGTAGGCAAAACTGGCGTCCAACCTCGCCTCTGTTTGATCCAACGTCCTTTGAAATTCTCTTAGGTTTTCGGGTGTTGATTTGGAACACATCTTAATTTTAGTCTCGCTTATCCTCAAGAGGTGATTTTTAACTCTTGAGTGTGAACTGGTAAACTCCTCTCTGTAATAATTACATCTTCATCTTCAATTTCCTCCTTCCTATTTGGTAACATATTTTTAAAACGAACATTTGTCATCTTGTACTCCATTGTCACTAGAACTCCCTTCTTGTTCCATTTCTCTAAAGTACAATAGCAATAACAGTAAATTAAAAAATTAACAATAGCAAAATAGTAACTAAAATTCTAATTAACAATAAATTAAAAAATGAAACCCTAATTAATTAGCAGTAAATTAATAGAACCCTAATTAATTAACAGTAAATTAACATAAAACAGTAAATTAAAATGAAAAAACAGTAAAATCTTTATATCTATATTCAGAGAGAGAAAGAGAAGCAGATTCAGAGAGAGACAAAGAGTGAGAGAATCAGAGAGAGGGGAAGAGATCGGGAGAGAGACGAAGAATCAGAGAGAGAGAGATCGGGAGAGAGATTGAAGAATCAGAGAGAGAGATCGAGAGATCGAGGGAGAGAGAGACGAAGAATCAAATAGAGAGAGATCGGGAGAGAGACGAAGAATCAGAGAGAGAGATCGGGAGAGAGAGACTGAAGAATCAGAGAGAGGGAGAGAGAGACGAAGAATCAGAAAGAGAGACTGACCTAGCCGACGAGAGATCGAGGGAGAGAGGACGAGCCAACGAGGACGACGAGGACGAGCTGAGATTAGATTGCCGACGAGGATGACGACGAGGACGAGCCGAGATCACGAGATCAGCGAGAGAGAGATCAGGATTGTGGCGACGTTTTCTTTTTTGTTCACGAATCCCAACCGATCGAGTGAGTGAAGAAATTAGGGTTTGGTTTCGGGTTTTTCTTTTTATTCGCCTTCTCAGCCGTGTCAGGAACGAGCCCAGCCGCGTCGGGAGCGAGTCGACATGCGTGTCGGGGCGTTGACGCGTGTCGGCGGCGTTGACCGCGTGTCCCAATAGGAGTACACCCTAATGGAGTCTAAGGTCAATTTATCTAACGACTTTGTCCATTTTTCACCCTAACAGATGCAACATGAAAGCCCTCTTATAACAACAATTTGACGAATCCTGAGCTGAAAGCAGTTAATCTCAACAGCAAAAGACCCATCAATACTCTTCAGGTTACTATCCTCTACTTTCATAAATGGAGGTGGGGGCAGCCCAGAGACAGAGGGGTCAACAGGCAACCATAAACAAGGGTATAAAATACATAGTATTCACTAAGCCATATAATGACAACACCTCCTCTTTAATCATTGAAAAAGTTTTTTCGGTTGCTTTTAGTTCCTATCACTATGAGTTCTGTGCACTATGGAATTTCCAAATGCTTAATAGAAAGATAAAACTAATATGAGACATGTCCTAAGTGACTAGTCACAAATGATCCCACGTGATTGCAAGAAGCCAATTTTCATATAAATATCATAGAGAAGAAGTTGAAGCTTGACTTCAAAATAAATGCACATAAAAAGGAACATGAGTATTTGTTGAATGAATGTGAAGAACACGTGCTGAGGCATAAAATGCAGAAAATGCGAATGCCAACCAAACTTGATGTAATACCTTGTCAACAGGTGATGTTTTCTCATCATCATCCATATCATCCAGATTGTTACTCAATAGAAGAGTAATGCAATTTCTTTCTAAATGGAGCTTATCAATAAGGCTAGCAACAGGATTTCCAGATTTTCTTTCTTCCTTTATCATGCGAGCCAGATCCACCCAGTCCATTCCATTTGCAAGTGCAACACGAACAGCTAAAATAGCTGCATCGACATCGTCTAAATTGTATTCAATCAGCTCTGCCATTTTTATAGAGTGGTCCACTTCCTTCTTCAGCATATGCACACGATTTTCCTGCAGCAAACACAAACCATAGATGAGAAGAAACCCAAACCAAAAGGAGCCAAATTGCAGAAAGCTGATGATAGAGCTTCTGTCACGTTGATGAGTTCAGAGAAAGATTCATAAGAAACAAGAGTGTAGTAGGACATTACTGTGAGCAAGTACATGCGCACAGTAGAAGCAAAACACAACTATAAAGTGTATGCTAATGGTAATGCATTTGTGATTGGTAATAATATTGCATTTACGATATCGTGATAAGACTGAAATAATATAGCTCTAAAATAGAAATGTGAAAAAGCTTCAAAAGCTAAAAGACCAAAATTACCACTCCTAGGACAAAATACATGAAGAGTGGCTACAGAAAAATTATGAGAATAAACTAGGGTCCTCTCCACTAATGATGAGATTAAGCGCATGAGTGATGAAGTAGGAGAGTAAAATTAGAAACATGATTATGGAGTGCCAAGTACCATGTGATTGCAGAAATCCACGAAGTTAGATGGAAAATTTTATAAGATGGATCCATGACAAGCTATCCTTCAAGACATAAATGTTTGCTGGGTGATTAGAAATGTCCAAGAAAGTCAATGAAGCCAAAATGAAAGCTAAGATGGCTAGACCACAAGCACTCACATAAAAATAGAGGTAGAGATTAAGGAAAAATAAGGGGAGTTTCTTCAGAAGGTATGTAAATGAGCAACAGTGAAAGATAATCATGCTACTTAGAATTGATGAGACTGAAACTGAAGGAACAGTCGGGATAAGTTTAGCCTGAACAAACATCAATTAGACAGTCAAAAAATTTTGATATGGTACATGATATTTTAGAACAGATGGCGCTTTGGCATAGCTTGATGGAAACAAATACAGAATGGGTTTAAAGATTTTTCCGTTGCTCTTGTTGTTGTTGTCGTTGTTGTTGTAAAGGCAATGTTAAATGCATGAATACAATAGTTGATTGAAGGGAAGCAAACACTAGTAGAGAGAAATGATAGTGACAACAGCCAAAAAATCATAAGTTACATAAATTTTCACAATCAATATGAGTCATAATAAATACATCTCCGTGAAGCAGCTGAAGTATTTGCTATGGGTGTTAATCTTTTCAAACAAAAGGATATGAAATAAGTACCTGATCCAATCGAATTTTGTTAAGCTTTTGCACAACAGAACCCTCCTTTGCCTTTTGCTGCTGTTCTACTCTTTGACTTTCAAGTTTACTATAATATTCATCTACTGCAGCATCAAATGTCTCAAACTTCATACATTCCCTCGACTTAAACTGATTCAGCAGAATTGGGCAGAACTCATCATAGGCCTGCATATGCAACCATGATAGAGATCAAGGCATGCTAAAGAAGGAAGAAGGATTTCTAACTCTACCATGAAACTGTCAAATCTGCAGACTGCTGTATTGATACCAGAAAATGAGACCCAACACAGCCACCAAGATTTCACACCTTGGATAAATTGATATGAGAAACTATCCAGAAAAGGACATTTTCTAAATAAAAAAAAGTTCAATTGTGTGATCAGTATAAGCATTTAATATAAATAACATGGACCAGTTGTAGGATAGAGATGGGGAGATCTTGTCACAATATCAGACAAAATAGAACTGCAAAACTATGGAAAGAGAAATTCCACCTAACCTTATTCACAGTAGAATCCTGAAGGGGGGCAAAATCCTTCTTCTCGACGGTTTTATTCTGCATCAGAATATAACCCTCCGGAACTTTTTCGCCAGATAAAATGTCTGTAAGCCAGTCCTCAAATCTGGTGATTGCTTTCATCAAAGCCTGAATAATTCCCTCATCAATTTTACTATTCTCATCATCTCCAACTTTCATATTAGGAAGCAGACCAGCATCCAATATGATATGCTCCGTGAGTGCTGGTCCATAGCTTAATGCTTCCCCAAGAATGGTCTTCAAAGTAGCTTTACTAGACTTTTTACCATCATTGCCTTTCTTATTTGAAACAGGTAAGTCGTTTTTCATGGTGCCCTTTACAGCTTTCAGTGTAATAGAAGGATTTTCATTGGCATTAACTTCAGATGATCCATCACCATCATATGTCTTGCTACAAGTAAGTGACGCTTTTAACTTTGCAAAGTCAGTCCTTTCAAAAATGCGGCAAGCTTCAATGGGGTAACGATGGCGTGACATAATTGCCAATCCCTTATCATCGTCTCTACAGAAAACAAGCTCACATCATATAAAGGCCCATTTTGTAACTTCAATACGTTCAGTTTCCAGAAAGTAACTTCATTGAATACAAATTGCAGTGAAATAATAGAGATGCAATACCAAACACATAAGGTTGAAAAACAGTACAAATTCTGTATTTGTGAATAAACCTAAAAAATATGAAGAGGTGCCTATGCATTCAAAATTCCATAAAGAAGCATCCTTCACCCAAAAACAGTGAGGCCTGCATTTAAATCTATAAAATCTTAATAGCAGTTTTGATATCCATAATGTTCATGCAAAGTTCAGCAGTCACTGAAACACATATGGTGATGGTGTAAACAATACACCAATTCTTTAGGACAATAATTATGAAATTCATATTTATGTGTCTCAATATCAATCTTCTGCACTACGTATAAATATTATTCTTTGTAGGGTATTTTGAATTTATAAATTATATAGTGTTTCGGGTAAAATTATTTCCTATAAAACATTCCAATGTGTGAACCTATTGCAAAAGCAAACTTATAAACAACTTAGAATGAGAACACTGGAAACTCGAAAAAAAATTTAGGGTCCTGCTCAATATATGTGTTGCAGTTTAAAAAGCAAATCATGTGTGTATGTATAAACAGAAATCAGAGTCAAATGAAATAGAGTGACCAAGCTTAAATTCAGGCGCCACAAACTGGTTTAAATTGGAAAATTGCAATTAGTAAGAGACACTGCGTAATGAATTACGAAAGGATATTGCATATATTCACAACTTGATGGACAAATATATCCAAAAATGGCCATTTTAATAACCATTCACCTTGATAAATAAAGAGGAATTCATTCATCATAAATGTGTGGGATATTTGAAGTGAAGAAGTGCCCTCAAAGTATTAAACAATAATGAAATAGGCATAGCCATGAAGTTGAAGAGAAATTTTTATTAAAAGGCTACACAATGATATGAATGGTGGCCAGTTAAGAAGAAACAAGACCAGAAATTGGAGTAGATAAAATGTGATTCAAATGGATAAGAAATATTATACTAAATGGAAATGAGATTCAAATGGATAAGAAATATTATACTAAATGGACAAGACTGACAGTGTCTGTGATAGATAAGAATGAAATTGTGATTGACAAGGATGAGTAGATCCATGAGCAGTTAAACACCATAAGATGATGATTGTGCTAGTTAGAAGGTAGGAGACCATGCGATTTTAGTTGGAGAATCAGCTAGGATGGGAAGGTCAGACTAAACTGGACATGGTTGAGGGAGTGACAAAAGACTGATTCATGTTAGCTGAAGCTGTTGAAACCATTTCTTTGAGATAAAAGGTTTGTTTTTATCGAACAGTGGGAGCTTCACATATAAGGTCTTACGAATATATGAAGTATTAAGTATCTCTAAAATTCACCACAAATATTTGCATGTGTTGATCCCATCAAATAACCTTAGGATAGCAATTAATCATGAAACATGACTCATATGGAAAATTAGCAAGAACGCACCTATGAGACCGAAGAAGAGTCAAGACTGTGTATTCAGAATCTGTCAAAATAATATTTCCTTGAGCATATAACTCAAGAATAACATAATGTGCATTGGCACCCAAGCCAAACTGAAAAAGAATAATCTGTAAACACAATGAAAACAGTTCATCACTATTAAAATAATTTCAAGAGATGTTGACTAAAGTTTAAAAAAATGAAGGAGCAGTTTCAAGGTACTTACCCGATCATATCCGAGTTGTCGCACATCTTCAAGCCTTCTTGTCCGTATGTGCTTCCGTAACTTTAGAGTAAATCCTGAAGGAGTTGTATGCTTGTCCCTACAGAGTGGTAGGATGTTGTCAATCAGGAACCTCACAAGTGACACGCACTAGTAACAAGGTAAATACAGCAAATAAGATGGGCTTACCGAACGTATTCAGTAGTGTGCAACCTGGCACCACTTTCCATCAGCAACAGAACCTTTTCACTTTCCCCAGACTCGGTAATACCACTACTGTTCATCAGCTTGAACAGATAAGTCTGCGACAATAACAGACAGCAAATGTCACCATAGGAACGATGGTTCACTTCTATCCTATTTTTTAGTTTATAGACATTTAAACCTAAATTATAACTGATGCTTTTGAAAGCATTAACTATGAAGGACCAAAGAATATATGAATGAAAGAGGACATGTTTTTATTCTTAGTTGTCCTCCACGGGGGCATTGCTTAGAGCACACGTTGTCAAAACAACCAAACATCCACAAATATTAAAAATTTTCCCCCAATTTTGACCAGTTAGTTTTATTTTTGTCCAAGCAAAGCCAACTAAACACCTATTTGCAAAAATTTTGACAATTTAAAATAATATCCAACTAGAAGCAATAAACACATCAGAAAATTCTTCTTCCTACTATTATTCCCACAATAATATTGTAAACTCAAACTCCACCTTCACAAATGAGTGTTAGGATTTAAGATTCCAAGTATTTTTTTTTCCCTTTCAAATTCAACATTGAATTAGGGCCACAAAAACAAACTATAGCAGAAACCGATCTTCAAATTAGAGTTAGGGCCAGGATTTCGATGAAGCGATGGATTAGGCCTAGGGTTTAGCATTCACGTATTACGCTCCCAAATCATGCCAAGTAGGAAACCGAAACAGGAATTGATCTTGACACTAGGGTTAGGGTTTCGATAAGGTGACTGGATTACCAAACACAGTTAAGCAATCAGACCTAGGGTTTAGCATCCATGTGTATGCCTGATAGACAGACTGACACAGGGATTGGTATTGAAAAACTAGGGTTAGGGTTAGGGTTAGAAATACCTTGGGGGTGATGTCGTAGACGTTGGAGCAGCGCATGCCGATGAGCTTGCGGAGGCACTTCACCTCCGCCGCCACGTCGGCCGTGTTCATTCGAACCTTCACCATTCTTCTTCTTCTTCAAGATTTCTCCAAACCCTACGTACGTAGCAAAAAGATCGTCTCTTTTTTTTCCTTTAATTTATTTTTTGGCTTCGATTTCTGATGGAGAGAGTGAGGGCAGGGAAACGAGAGACGAGAGAAGAAGGAAGCGGAGGGTTTATAGACAAGGAGGGAGCAGAGCTGGACCGGTCCGGTTTAGAGTAGGGTTTTTGACCGGTTCAGTGGGTCAAGGAGGCTTGAACCCATATGATCATTTTACCTTGAAAATAAAAATGATAATTGTCTTTTAAGGAAAGTTTAAAATGAAAAAAAAATCCAACCCTAAGAACGAACAGGGAAATACTACAATCAAAGGAAATATTCAGATTTATCGTTTTTCGCCTTGAAAACTTTTCATGGGATGTTGAATTATAAAATATTGTGGAAATTAATTCAATATAATAATATGTTGGATTAAAGAAAATAAGTTTTTTTGGCGATATAGAAAGTTTTTTTTTCTTTATTTTTTTTATTTCACTTTAAGAGTTTATTGATTTAATGAATGATAATTAATGAGTGATTATTTTTTGAGATATTTAAATTATAAGGTCTCTGTATTTTAGTCTCCTACCAGACATTAAATTTGGTCTTGTTTATATCTTCACTCACAGAGGTTGAGTTGTTCGAGGGGAGTAATTGGATAAATATAGGCATCCTTTTTTACCTATTATCACAAGTATATCGTGTT